TTGAGTGCTCTCGCAGTGGCGGGGGAGTATAACGACCACCATAAAGTGTCATATATTACTCACTGTATCCATCACGATGTCAAGTGCATTGCAGGCGATTATCTCAATCTTTGAGTTCTGAGAGGTAGGCACTATTCTTGAATTCCCGTTTTGCAGATGGGAAAGAGTCCAGACGCGGCAGGGTGGGGCGGACAGGGGGCAGCAGTCTCTGATGATGGACTGCGTGGGCTGTTGAGCTGTTCTGAATGTAGTTGAACAATATGTTTACTGTTCAGCCGCTCGGGGTCAGCTGCTCTGGGAGCGGTGCCTGGAGCCGCCACCAGGTGGCATCTCCACTCGGTACCACTAGGGGGAGGGAGCGGAGGGAAGGGGAACTGTCCAAGGAGACATCATGCCTACAAGAAACAGAAAGCCGAGTCCCAGAGAGGGGTATAGAACCTGTGGAGAGAGGTATCAAGACCCGCGAGGGAGATGTGGCAGAGACTGGGGAAGATGGATTGTAACTGGGAAATGGACACCTAGGTCCTGATAGAGAATGGTTTATCCCCTTCATTTCTAAATGACTCCTCTCCTCTCCTATGGCAGAAGTTTGAAAAGAAATTTCAGTCTGAGAAGGCAGCAGGCTCGGTGTCCAAGAGCACGCAGTTTGAGTATGCCTGGTGCTTGGTGCGAAGCAAGTACAACGATGACATCCGTAAAGGCATTGTACTGCTGGAGGGTGAGGTGCTAGGCTACCCGACCGTCCCCTTCCCAACTGCAGTCAGTCTGCCCTTCTTTACTGCCATTGGGCATGCCCTCCCTTCATAGGGTCAACATGGGACCCTGTAGTCCAGTCACCTCACAGTTATTTTACAGCAAACTCACTAACAAGGGGCTGTGTACATTAGCCTAGCTTCTCCCACTGTACTTCGGGCTAATTACCTACCACCTCATCATTGTTTTGCCCAACAGTCAGACCGTGTTAATTTCCACAGGACTTGGGTAACCTGGTAGTCTAACCATGAAGAAAGTGACTTGTCTGAAGTGCCACAGCTATTGGCTGAAGTAGGACCAGAGGCTCCTGTTTCATGTGTGCCAGTCCTGGGTTCTTTGTCCCCACCATGTTGCTTATTCAGCAGCTATTGTAGAAAGAACAAAACTTTCGTGAGGGTGGCGTGGAAGATGTTCAGGAGACAGTCCCGAAACCCTGTGAGCAGATGATGCCTTTTTAATAGGAACCCTAGTTCCAGTTGTTTGGGGATATGGCGCCATTTGTCAGGAGCCTCTATATTTGACCTTTAAAGTTCACTGAACCCTCTTTCTCTTGGTCAGGTAATTGGATATAAGCAAACAAGTCAGTGTACTGGCAAAGGATGCCTGTGGTAAATCTTTAAATATAAGAATCTTGCTTAATGCAAATAATTTCACCCTACATTTGTCTGATTTGCCAACTCAGATTTTTCAGGTTTCCTCTATAGCAGGGCACAGCTGTAAAAGTGGTGGTCTCTAAGAGCTGCCAGTCTACTTGAGGAGACCGTACAGACACTTGGGAAGATTTATAAATATCCACAAAGCTATTTATCAACAAATTCTAGTGCATAGAGTACAGTTGAACACAAACTTCTGGGAAGTCACTGGATTATGAGTCAGGGTTATTCAGGAAAGGCTGTTTTTTGTTTTGTTTTTTTTTTAATTGGGGTGGGGAATACAAACTTACTTTTTTTTAACACTTATTTGGGTAACTCGCAACTGTAGTTGAAACACAACAGATGCCAAAACTGAGCAGAGGTGCCTCCTGGCTTTTCCGGTGGCTCTACTGCCTTTCAGCTCACTTGGATGAACCAGGTTGACTGTGGGATCAGCACCCAGGTGTCTGGGCAGCCTGGAGTCATGCTTCCCACAGCTCTGACTAGGAAGCCCAGAACTGCAGGCTCTGAGCAGTGACTTTCTCCCAGAATTATGTAGGGATTCAGAGAATGGAAGGGGTCTCTGGGACACAAGTATTAGGAAAAGAGAAAGCGGGTTTTACTCTTTACTCTCTCCTTCCCAGAGCTATTGCCCAAAGGTAGCAAAGAGGAGCAGCGGGATTATGTCTTCTACCTGGCTGTGGGGAACTACCGGCTCAAGGTAAGGTGGGAAGCTCCCTCCCCACCCCATCCTATTTGGATGAGCCATACACCTTCTCCTCACCGTCCTCCAGGGTAGAGCCTGAAGAGAGCAGTAGGTAGAGGGTGGTATTGGGTACAGAGGTTCAAAGTGATAGCTGATCAGGATGCTGAGGGAAGATGAGACAGAGGATCAGGGTGCCTAGGGTGTGGGGAAAAGGTGACGTCAGGATTGGGGTGCAGCCCCAGAGCCTTGGGTTGTTATCTCCCCTAGCTTATCATCCCCACACAGTTGGGGTTGTTTGTGGACTCTACTCCATTGGGTGGGGCTAGGGTGAGGGAGGGGGTGGAGGTAGAGGGAGGAGCCCCCAGGGCACGTGAAGGGAATGCCCCTCTGATGGGCAGGAGGAGTGCTGAAATACTGAGAGAGGGATGTGTGTGTGTAGGAATATGAAAAGGCCCTGAAGTATGTGCGAGGGCTACTGCAGACAGAGCCCCAGAACAACCAGGCCAAGGAACTGGAACGGCTCATTGACAAGGCTATGAAGAAAGGTGAACGTCTTCCCCTGTTTTCCTCCATTCCCACTCTCCTGTCTCCCGGGCCTCCATCATCCCCAGGTCCCCCTCAACTGTTAGTTTAGTCCTCATCCTCACCCCTACCGCATGCCTAGGCCCTCTGGGCCCTCTTTAAGTGACTCTCCCTGCCAGCAGTTCCTCTTCAAACTCCCAGGAGCCTTCTTTGTCCAGCCCTCAGAGTCCCTCGCCCTGTGACTCCCAAATGGAGAGGCACATCTGTGGAGGAGCAGTGGGCAGGAAGAAGATAGTAGCCAGGGTCCTGGTGGGCTGGGGGTTGACTCCTGACAATCTCCCTCTTCTTCTCCCCAGACGGACTGGTGGGCATGGCCATTGTTGGAGGCATGGCCCTGGGTGTGGCGGGACTGGCTGGACTCATCGGATTTGCTGTATCCAAGTCCAAATCCTGAACGAGACTGCACCTCTGCCTCTGCCCGGGGACACGGGAGAGCCCATGGAGGACACTCAGGGAGGGCCCATCCATCCTCTCTGTCCCTTTCTTCTGCATCCCATCACTGTCCTCTGTGGCCTCAACCTCCTCCCCCCTGAGACCTGTCCTGTAGCCCCAAATCATGTGCTTTAGGATGAGTGTAAATAAAATTAGGCTTTGACTTGGGAACCTCTGTGTCTGTGTTGAAGGAGGGGCAGGTTCCCTCAGTCCCAGAGGCGGGGGTAACGCACGGTCCTCTCCTGCTCTGTGTTGTTCTATTACCTCCACACTGGCATGGGGTTCTTTGTCTGCAGAGCTGCCCGGATCCTACACCCTTCCTCCCCTCCACTAAAGCCACGTGGCCTTTGCACAGCCCTAGAATCCTGGGAGAAAGCAACAACTGGAGGAGGGAAGGGCAGAGCTGAAGGGACAGGCTTGGATTTATGTCTCCTGTCTCCTCTGACCCACTCAGCTGGCTCTTAAGTATGTGGAGTTTTCCACACCATGGGGCCCCCCCACTCAGTTTCCTCCAAAACCTCCGCCCTTCCCCACCCTTTGTCTTCCTGCTTCCTCCTCTTCCTCCTCCTGTAGCCTCCTGAGGAGAGGGGGTGCCACTGGTGGCTGGAAGGATACAGGCATTTGTCATGGAGTTGGCAGGGGTCTTGGAAGAGGTTATAGATGCGGTATACACCAGTTATAGCCTCCAAGATGGAAGGTGAGGACCCAGTCCCCACCCAGCCCGCTGTGCCCCACACCCGCCCTGTGCCAGGCTCAGCTTGGACCTGTCTTGCTTCACTGCATACCTCTCATTCCACAGCCAAGCCAGCCCCGCTGGGGGATTGGGGAGGAGGCCCCTGAGCAGAGCACAGAGCACAGAGCAGCCTGACACACAAAGGAGGGGAATGGGGTTTACACTTCAGCTCAGGGCTGTACTGTGTGACTGCCTGGGTGTAGGGTGAGCCCCTTTGAGACTGAGCCCCAGCCACACTTGCCAGAAGAGAACCAGGGCTGTCCTGCTGTGGCCTTGGAGCAGAAAACGAGACCATCCACACCAGGACAGGTGCTCAGCTTTGGCTAGAAGTGGCAGCCCAGAGGTTTCTAATCCATCATAATTAATAGAGCTTAGTGACATTTCTGATAATGAGTCACTTAGATTAGCCACAGGATCACCTGGGTCTGAGATTTATCCCCCTTGGGGGATCCTTGGCCACAATATCAAGCTTGTTGCTGAGGGTCAAAGATCGACCCACCAAAGGGGAAAGCTCGAGTTCATGAACTTGAAGTTTAGAGGAAAGCAACTCCTAATGGCTTCACCCTGGGTCTGCTGCACCAAAACCCAGGTTAGTCACCAAGTATTGAGTAATTCATACACGTGGGGAGCTTTGATCTCCAGTGAAAATTCTTGTTATATCTTGTGAGGTGAGCAGCAGTAGTTTTAGTTCACAGAAGCAGAAATGAACTCACAGGGCTCAAACTTCATGCCCGTGTCACTTTGGTGAACGATGAGGTTTGGTGTGAATCTAGGTTGGTTGGACTCCAGAGCCATTGGTTTCCCCCACAGATCCTTCTCTAAACTTAATCTTCCTGGAAGACTCAATGCTCCAAGCCCCAGGCCTTGGAGTTTCCTGAATTGTTCTCACCAGTGCTTAGAGGCAGTGGCTCTGCTCCCTGGTTTCTTTCCCAGTGAAGGCCACAACGGCGTACCCGTGGTTATTCCCTCTGTTTGTCCCTCGTATTCCATGCTCTGGCCCCCGATGAAAGCCGAGTCGGAGACACGCTTCCCCTTGGCTCCCGATGCCTCCCGGGGGGGCCCCTCCTTGGCTGCATCCGTTAGTCACTCCCTGGTGAGCCCCCCCCCCCACCAGGGCGGGGAGCCTGGGGCAGCCCGGAGGCATTGGACTTTTGGCCCGTTTCGTTTATTCCCTACATCTCATCAACATCTGCCGCGGGCTCTTGCCTCATTTCTCTGACTGGCCTGCAGGGAAGCAGAAACCTAGAAAGACGGGAGGAAGGCAGAAACCTGGAGACGGACCTGAGGCTGAGGAAGAGGCCAGGGCTGCAGCTGGTCTTCCACCCTTCTCCTCTCTCTTCCCACCTCAGCCAAAGCCCTTCAAGGTCCCCTGGGGCGCAGCCCTTCTCCCTCCGGGGCCCCTGGTGCCCCTCAGGGCCTGCATCCCACCATGTCAGTGGCTGTGGAGACCTTTGGCTTCTTCCTGGCAGCCGTGGGGCTGCTGATGCTGGGGGTGACCCTGCCAAACAGCTACTGGCGAGTGTCCACTGTGCACGGGAGTGTCATCACCACCAACACGATCTTCGAGAACCTCTGGCACAGCTGCGCAACTGACTCCATGGGAGTCTACAACTGCTGGGAGTTCCCGTCCATGCTGGCCCTCTCCGGTAAAAGGTGGAGGGTGAAGGGGGCAGAGGGAGGGGGGAGGTTGGAGAGAACTCTGGCAAGTGCGGGTGCTGCCTGTGGTCTGCCCTTGGGTGCCATACAGATAGGGGAGGCCTGATCAAGCTCAGAGACTGGCTCCTGCAGCATGGAATTCTGGGGATAGACCCCTGTCTGGAGCTAGTGGTGACATGGCCCCCTGCCCTCATGTGACACTGTCTCAGTGGTTACAAGTGCAGGTACCAGGGTCAGACTGCCTGGTCCAGTGCCTGCTGTGCCCTAGCTCTGTGCCTAGGACAGGTGGTAAAATGAGCTCTATTTGACCCATCTGTAAAATAAAGATCATGATAGCACTCATTCAGAGTAGTGGTGGGGACTTTACAAAATAAAAGGTGCAAAATGTTAATACCTATATGCACTCAAACAATTTTAGCATTTTAGTATTGGGTTGGGAGTGTTGGAGTTTGTGGGGTGAAGAGGAGGCCCCATCTTGGAATCTTGAGAGTTAAGACTCTCAGTAGCTCACTGCCATGGCAAATTCTAAAAGGCTGTTTTAAAGAGTCTGAGTGTCTAATGTAAGCAGGTGAGGGGGTGTGCATGTGTGTTTGGGGTTCTCAGGGTAGTGTATTTTTTCGATTCTTGGTGAGCTGGAGCCTACGGCTCTTTTGGCCCAGAAAGATTCACCCTGGTGGCTATAACGTCCTCCTGCTTCCTGCTCACCCTATAAGTAGCCCCCCACTATTCCCTAGGGGAGTCTCCCTTCAGTCAGCCCCTGCCAGAGACCAAGAGGGGGTGACCAGGAACCCTCTGCAGTGCCACTCCTTCGCCCTGACTGGGTCTTCGTGGAGCCCTCTCGCTCTTCTAGATCCCCTTCTGCAGGTGCCGCAGGTAGGGGAAGGGGCAGAGACTAAACTGGGTTTAAAGCAGGGATCCACAAAACCCCCCTAGGAAGACACTCTGAGCAGTTAGAGGGTCCATGTGGGTCTCTTGTTGTGCCCCCACTATTCCCAGAATCTCCTGAGTCAGCTGCAGAGGCTTCATGTTTTCATCCCCCTCTCTAGGACTTACAAAGCAAGTGCCCCACCAAAACCCTATAAAAGCTGAACACAAACTGGGCCAGAAGCCCAGAATACTGGGTGGCCAGAAAGGACAGCCACAGTGACAGCCAGCTCAGCAACCCTGGCCACCCCCACCTCATTTGCGCCCACTCGCAGCCACAGCACTCGGCCTGAGAGGACCATGAGTGCACAGGAAAGACGAGGCTGAGGGAAGGGCAGAGCGCAGCTGCCCAGTGGGCTTGGGGGAAGGGCAGAGCGCAGCTGCCCAGTGTCGAAGGGCATCTTGGTTCCGGTGTGGCGCTGGATACTTCACATACACCATTTTAGGGTGGTTTACAAAATAGTTCTGCTGTTGGGTGCATTAGTAACTCCATTTTACAGAACCTGGAAACCACAGGGATAAGCGTTAACCTGCCTTGAATTGCACAGGTGGTAGGAAAGTTGGAATCCTGCCTCGTGTTTCTGAGTCCAGCGCAGGCAAACTTTCAAGGCCGGTTCTGGTCCTGAGAGGGATCCAGACCGTCATTTAGCCGCCTCCCAGCTGTGTACCGCCCCCCACCCCCAGCCTCCAGCCATTTGGCCTATGCTCGCACAGGTGGAGACTGTTAGATGGATGGGTGGGGATAAGATATGGGGTAGGAAGAGAGGGCAGGAACTCCAGAGGGAATGGCTGGGAGTGAGAAAGTGCTCCCAGAGAACTTTGTTCCTCCTCCCTACCCCCCAGCTCCGAGCCACTAAACATCCTCTTGGCAGGGACCCAGCCTTTCCCCTTCAGCATTGATGGCACTGCCCCACCTGGGAAAGCGGTGCAAGGTCCTTGGGTGCTTGGCAACTATCAAAGTCAGAGAAGGGGGAAGGGGGACCAGGAAAGAAGCCTGCCATTTCCTACAGCTTTGAGAAAGGGGAAACTGAGGCACTGAAAGCACATGTACAAGACTGACTTGGATTGGTCCTGGGCCCAGGTATCCCACCTCCCAGATCAGAAACTGCCCTGGACCCAGTGACCCATAGGCCACTGCTGCCCCCTACCATTCACTCCAGGAAGAAGCTCAGGTCCAGATGTCTGGCACAGTACTAGGCACTAGGTGGGACCTGGAAAGAGGCAGATGTGGGGAAGGGGCTGGGGATGCCCGGGTGCAGTTTCTACAATACACAGCAGAGCTTAGTGGCAATCTCACAGAGCAGTGGCTCTCAACTAGGCGATTTTGCCAAGGGTCATTTGACAGTCAACATATTTTGATTGCCCTGCCTGGGGAGACTACTGACATCTAGTGGTGGAGGCTTAGAATGCTGCTAAATATCCCACAATGCACAGGATTGCCCCCAGAACCAAGCATTATCCCGCCAAAGAGCCAATAGTGCAGAGGAGAAACCCTATAACTGAGGCATAGGCGAAGTGCACCAGTGCAGGTGACAGGGCAGGAGGGGCTGAGACTCCTTGGGGCTGAGGTGAGCTCCAGAAAAGAAGGGGTGTGTGACCCCTCAGCCTGCAGGCTGGATGGGTCTGAAGGGGAAGAAAAGGATTTGAGGGCTTCTAGGGATAAGGCCTGAGCAGGGGCTGTAAGGGCCTGGCTGTCATCGAGGGGAGAGGAGATGGAGGGGTGTGGGTCTGGCTCAGGGACCCATGGCTGCAACCCACCTCCCCAGGATACATCCAGGCCTGCCGGGCACTCATGATCACCGCTATCCTCCTGGGCTTCCTGGGCCTCTTCTTGGGCATTGTGGGGCTGCGCTGCACAAACATTGGGGGCATCGTGCTCTCCAGGAAGGCCAAGCTGGCGGCCACTGCAGGGGTCCTACACATACTGGCTGGTAATTGACGGAAGGTGATGGGTGAGCCCTGCGCTGTGGTGGGAGGTCGGGAGTGGCCCTAGGCAACAGACCCCGGGGGCTCTGTCTTCACCAGCTCCCACTCCTAATGTTTGCTTCACCTTCCCCTTTGCATGGATGCCCACCCTCCCAGGCTAAGCTCTTACCTCCCTCCCTGATCACCTCAGCTTCACCCACACCCGCCAAATCCCTTGGCTACGAATCAGTCCATCAGCAATGTTTCTTGAGTGCCCACAGGAGCCAGGCCACAGGTGAGGCAGGGGTGGGATTCCAAAGGTGGAAGTGAAGGTCTGTGCTCCTGAGCTTACAGCTTGGCTGGGAAGATCAGAGTCAGGGTGTGCGTGCACCCCAGTGCACATAGGAACAGTGCTGTCTGACAGGCCCTCCTTTTTCCGTCTGTGAAACATACCTATGCACATCACTTCATAAGCCTGTGAGGCAGGGAGGGTCTCATCCTGCTCTCCAGATGTGGAGAAAGGCCCAGAGAGGTCAGATGACTTACTGGAGGACAAGCCCGCAGTGAGTGCAAGGCTGGCCCCAGAGTCCAGGGGCCTCACGGGCTTCAGGCCTTCACTTCACTGAGTTGCAAAGGTGTGTCACGGGCTCTGAGGGCTTTGAGAGGTCAAAGGCCAGGGTGTCAGAACAGACAGAGCTGGTAGGAGAAGGCTGATTAGGGCAGCTGGGTGTCCAAGGATGGATGGGGCACAGACTGAGTGAGGAAACTAAATGACCAATGCACTAGAGGCCCTGGAAGGACGAGGCAGGTCAAGGGTAGAGAGGGGACAAGGGCTGGCTGAGGGGCAGCGCATGGGAGACTAGATGAGAAAGGTGGGTGGGGCTGGGTCCTTGGTGAGGGCTAGATAGAGAAGTTTGCAGTTGACCCTGGGAAACAGAAGAGTCATGAACTGGGAAGGGGAAGAAAGGGAGGGAATGAAATTTGCTCTTGGACTTGATGCCCCACACCTACTCTCTCGGCTGTTCCCGCCTGGCCCTCCCCCTATTTCCCTAGGGGCCTAGGGCTCCAGTGCAATTCTCTCCCTGTGCCAGGTTGCTGCGGGATGGTGGCCATCTCTTGGTATGCCTCCAACATCACCCAGGACTTCTTCAACCCCTTATACTCAGGAACCAAGTGAGTGTGGGAGGCTTACCCTCTGGGGCACTGGGTGGAACTCTGCCACGCCCCTGAGCTAGCGTGGCCCTGCATGGTTGTTGTCCCTAGGTATGAGCTGGGCCCTGCGCTCTACCTGGGCTGGAGTGCCTCCCTTTTGGCCATACTGGGTGGTGTCTGTCTCTGCTCCAACTGCTGCAAGGCTCCGGACGAGGACCCCGCTGCCAGGTAAGGGAAGGGGAGCAGCACAAGGTGGAGGTGGGAGGGGACAACGAAGGCGCCACCTCCTTCCAACACAGGACCCTCCCTCGGCAGCACCCGGCTCTCCTACAAGGCCTCCGCAGTGCGGTCTGCTGCCCTTGCTGCCCACCTGCCCCCTGCAGCCTCGGACGGAGACGGCGACAACAGCTTTGACAAATACGGGAAAAACGCTTATGTGTAGAAGCCGTGGCCTGTAGGCCCTACTCCCCTTCCACTGCCCCCCAGTGGAAAGGGATCCCTCGAACCCAGGGCAGCAGGTGCCGACTGCTGCCTGCAGTTACCACCTCAGGGCCAAGCCACACCTGGGGCTCCACTTTGGGCCTGGAAGCCACACCCTGCTCAGGCCCTGCCTCCTCAGCCAGAGCTCCTTCCAGGTGACGCTTCCCTGCTCTGGCCTAGAACCCGCCTCCTGAGGACTCACTTTGGACTCCTGAGACTGGACTCAAACCCTCTTTATCTTCTGAGTCTGGGGTCTGGGCGGCTAGGCATGTGGGGACGACCCCGAGCGGTTGCATTCCATATAAATACATGCATAAATAAATTTGTATTGTGAACTGTTCAGGGCTGAGTGTCATGAAGAACTTGGTCAAGCAAGGGGTGACTGGGGAGGCACCCAGAGTCATCTCGGTTCTTGGACACCAGACTGTCACCTGTGCCCCCTCCATCACCTTTGGACTGTCTTATCCAGCAAAACAGAGGCAGGATTGCAAGTGATTTCAAAAGTGTGGCACTCTTACAATTACTGATAAGAGTCATCAAGGAGCAGCCTGGGAGACCCAGCTGGAGGAAACTGGCCAGCTTGAGATAACAAGTCATTCCTTTTACTCTCGACCTTTCTTCACAGCTGTGCAAGGACACAGGTGGTCTAGAGCAGTTTCTTTGCCTGGGCCTGACAGTGGATGTCAGAAATTGACCAGCCCTATGAAATTGTGTCAAATCAAGGGTCCCGTGCAGGCACATTTTTCTGGGGAAGGTTCAGTAACTTCCAGAAAAGGCTCTGAAGGTCCATTCACAGAGGCTTGTCTATTAGTGGCATGTGTATGACGTCATGATGTCCAGCTCAGACACAGCACTGGATCATGAGCAGGGTTGGCACAGGGAACTGGGCAGACCTGGTACCCACTTAAGACTAAAATGAGGCCACGAGAAAGATGCCTGGCATCTAGTGGAAGGAGGTGATAAGACCTTACGCTGGTACCTTCCCCTGCAGCACTGGCTAGGGTCACCAGTCACTTGGGGGTGGCCTGGGTTCTGACCTCGGCCCCTTCTCCTTCCCCATTCATCCCATCTGCCCCTGGGATGTAAAGACACTCACATCTGAATTCTAACTGGGCTCTCTCTGGGGCTTCCGATGTATGAGCACCCACTGGGTCGTTTCACAGGCTGGGCAAATTTGTTCCTTTCCCCCACACCCACAGCTCCTGTCATTTCTATAACCGTCATCGCCAGCCTCTCGGTCAACAGACTGACAACTTCAATCATCTCTGACTTCTCTCTTCACTTCCCCTCCGCCACTCCCTCCCCTCAGCTGCCTGCCAAATCCTGTTCTCCCTCCAGTTTTCACATCCTCCTTCTTTCCTTCCACTGCCTGATGCTGGGTCAGGCCTTCACCCTCCCTTGCTCAGACTCGTCACAGGGTTTCCCTAATTGAGCTTCTAGCCCATGTTTCTCTACCGGAGCATCATTCATTGTCCTGTCCTGGTAGCCCCCTGGTGGCTTGTGGGGGGCGGGGGAACACAAGACCTCGTCACACTGCCTGGCACTGGCCCATCCTTCTGTCTCCACTGTTCACTATTCCTCTGCACAGCCTTGCTCTCCCAGCAAGCTGGATGGCTCCACTGGCCTTGGACACACACTTGCATCAGAGCTTCCCACCGGGCTCCACCCAGAAACACTGGTGCATTTGAGCTGTTCCCCTATATGAAAGCTTCCATGGCCAAGGAGTCCAAAAAATTCTGTATATCCTATGCCCTTCTGCTTGTGGACAGTTTGTGGATGTCCCACAGCCAAGCCAGTTCCCCTGGCTAAGTCCAAAGCCCACACGGGAGGGACTGCACAGAGCATAGACACTGGGAAGTGTGTTTCGTGGGGGCCCTTTGTGTAACAATCTACTATGGCAAGTATCGGGCCGCCCGACTTGCTTCATTAGCAAACCAACAGTAGGCTTCTCTCTGTGGTGTGACAGACATATCTCACACCAAGCAGAACCTGCGAGACACACAGCTTAAAAAGGGCCTTACAATTCTGAAAGGCTCCGAAAAGCACAAGGATGCCCGTGTACCCCACAGTGAAGGACAGAAGCCAGTTACAACTCCTGATACTGCCACCCAGGCACCTCCAACCCAAACTCTCCCTCAGCCCCACCCACAGCTTCTACCTACTTTCCCCAACTCCATCCTGCCTCTTCTCATCTCCTCCCCTTTTCAGGAAAACTAGCCTTAACCAGGTCTCACATTTGAGCATTTAAATATGTGACTTAGTATGATCACCAGAGTAATTATTGATTTCTTTGTCCACCAGTCATGGTCACATGGCTCTACAGGGCTACTGACACACCCCTCTTAACACATTCTTCTTTTTTAGAAGTTAGAGCACTGAGACATGACCCCTGCTTTCAAAAAATCACAAGCTGGAAGCAAGAAGAAATGTCAACAGCTTGTTAACATATAATGGGCAAGGTGCTGGGGCTACTCCAAGGAGCCCTCCAGTTTTTGAGGGAACTCATGAAAAAGCTCCACAATGAACTGGATTAGAGCTCGGGCAATGAGGTCAACAGCTGTCATTCACTGAGTACTCTCCAGACACTGGGGCAGGTACCCTGCCTCATTTAACCTTCATATATCTGGCGGGTGGCTACAGAATGAGTACAGTGACCTACCCAAGCTACACAATTAGTGAGTAGTAAGACCAAGATTTGTCCCAAACTGAAGACACAATGGGCCTGCTGCCCAGAATTCCTGGCTCTGCAAACGAATTCACATCAGTTCAATTCAGTGCTCACTGAGGTCTTTAGCTGCGAGCCCCGCAAGTCTCTAGTCTTCCAGACCCTACCATTCGCCTCTTCTAGTGCTCCATCACATGACACTGGCGCTAGCCTCTAGAAGCTTTTGGTATAGTGTAGGTTTCCCAAAAGCCTGGTGTCTCCCAAGGTGGGGGACAAGGTCTTCACTAGTATACAGGAAGCTGGCAAAAGTAGTTCAAGGCTTTTCTTGAGGAGCTATGGTTTTAAATGGGGGTCTGGAGATCCTTCCTAAAGATTGTGAATGGGTGATCTGTGGAGACAATCAGCATCAGAGCAAGGGAAGGCCCCTGGGGTCTGGCTCGGTCTTACCAAGGTTGGTTGGGAAAGACTGAATGTGTCATTGAATACACAAACCTTACACCAAGCAGAGCATGTGTGATTCTTTATAACAAAATGTGTCTGCTCCATGCTACTGAGGACACAGCTAGGAACTCGAATGGCTGAGGCTGACCTTGGTGCCTTAGGGCCAAAATCATCACATCTTCACTCCCATGACAGGAGTCTGGGCTGGGGTGGCTTAAAGGCTTGGCCAACTGAACCTATTCCCGGGAGCACCGGCTCGTGGCCTCTCCCTATAGCCTGGGTTTCCTCAGAGCACAGATTTCTTACATGGTAGCTGGGGGCTCCAAAAGCAAGTGTCCCAGGGACAAGGCAGAAGCTGCATTGCCTTTGACCACCAGCCTTTAATGTCACATGGTTTCACTTCTGCCACTCTACTGGTTGAAGCAGTCCTAGGCCTACCTGGATCCTAGAGAAAGGGGACAAAGACCTCACCTTTAATGGAAGAACAGTCAAAAAATGTATAGCCATCTCTTAAAATTTCATTTATTTATTTTTAGAGAGAGGGGAAGGGAATGAGAGAAACATCAATGTGTGGTTGTCTCTTGCACACCCCCTACTGGGGATCTGGACTCCAACCCAGGCATGTGCCCTGACTGGAAATCGAACCAACAACCCTTTAGTTTGCAGCCCAGCTCTCAATCCACTGAGCTACACTAGCCAGGGCCTTTAGCCATCTTTTAAAACCACCACCACACTTGAGACTGCCTGTAAACCCCATTCTCACCACTACTCAACACAAAGCTGTCACCAATGCCACTTTCCCAACTGCAAGTCTCCAGAGAAAGAGCAAGCAGTTCTTCAGGAAAACGCCAGGAACATTTGGGTCAGTCCCAAGAAAGTCCCTCAAGATGGGGAGAAGAACCTAAGAAGGTGCCTAACACTGACTTTGCTGGATTTCATTAACATCTTATTAAGTTCATATGTTCAACAAATACTTCCTAAGCACCTGCTTGGCTATGTCCCAACAGGGTACTGGGCAACTAGGACAGCAACTCCAAGGACGTCAGGCGTGACATGAGAAGCCCCAGGACCACACAAGAGTTACAGCACCCAGGGCCACCCAGAACAGGAACCTCTACACCATGAATTCTCCATGCCTCCCAAGAACTCCTGGGTTTCCTCTGCTAATAACTGCATGTACCACGGCCCCTGCAAACAAGAGCATCCTCAGGACAACCCTTCCATTAGGCTGGCCATTCCTGGGGCCTCACTGTATTCAAAAGACATGCAGAGGAACTTGAGAAACTAAAAGCAAAAACAAGTGAACCAAATCAATAACCAAAAAAGTGACACAGAGAAGCAGTCAAGGAAGACAGAGACATGGGAATGGTAGGACAATGGGACAAAATCTTGCAGTCAGGGACCTAGAGGGGCAGACAGTGAGAGGGGTGATTGATAGAAAAGGGAGAAAAAGACACAGAGCAGTGAGTAGGAGAAAGACATGACCAATCACCTTCACCCCCAAAACACCCTGTGACCAAAAGGCAGGTGCCTCCTCACACGAGACCTTTCAGTAGTAGATGGTACCCTGAGGGCTGGCCCACTTTCCTCCACATCCCCAGGGGTGAGACTGGCCTTCCCTGGGGGATGAGATATGAGGTTTATTGGTTGGGTGAACAGTTCTTCTCTTGGTCCAGGGGAGCACCTTTCCTTTTGATGTCCTCTCCAAGGCCAGCATAATGATGCATGGAGGGTCTTCCTCTCCAGGGACGCCCAGGGTCACACGGTCCACTTCAAGCACCTGAAGGCAGAGGAAACCCAGGGTGAGGAGAGGGTCTGGGAGGCTGTGGGGTATAGGAGGAAGACGGTGTGGACCTGGGGACATTCCCAGCTCACCTGGTCTCCTGGTGAGTGCCCAGACAGCGCACGGTGCAGTATCGGGCGCCACAGCTGACACAGGTATACGGAGAGGGGAAGCCGCATACAGCACAGAAGGGGCGCTGGGGCCGGGATGGGGGTCCTGCACAAGCTGTCAGGTAGTTGGGGCCCTCGGCCACATTCAGGTTCTGCAGATACAAGGGGGCAGGCTCCACGACTTCTCTGCCCACCCACATAGCAAACACCTGCCCGGGACAAGCATCTCTCTGGGTGCAGCCCTTCCCCGTGGGTTCCTCCCTGCCAGTTCCTTTCTCACCTGCTCCTCCAGCAAGGCCTGGAAATTTTTTCGGAAGCGAAGTTTAAAATGATCACCTCGAGTTTTCTTCTTTTTCTTTCCTAAAGATCGAGAGCAATGAGTTACTTGGCACCTTCCAAGAAAGACACCATCTTTCTCTGCCCCGTCATTCACAATGCCCTCATGTCCACTCCCTGCCCACATACTCACCTGGGCTCTAGGTAGGTCTCTGTCTACCATTCTTTTCCCTTCCCCCAACATCTCTAATCCCAGCCTTCCTTCCTCTCTACACTCCCTGAATCTAAGCCTTTATATCAGAGCTGGAAGGGATTTAGAGCGCATCTGCTCCATCTTCTTTATTCTACATACACAAGAAGACACTGAGGCACAGAACGGGGAGAGCAACTAGCTCAACGTCACAGGAGCCAGCCCCTGGCAGAGCCAGAGCAGCTCCCGGGTCATCGTCCCCTCAGTCTAATGTCCTTCCACAAACCTAACCCAGGCAAACTCTTTCCCCTTCCTTCAGCCTTGTCTCCCCAGCCCCACCCGCCTCACCCGCCTCACCAGTGTCTGCATCATCATCAAACTGAGGCAGCCTTTTGCCAAGCTGGGGGAGTCCCGCGTGAGGATCATCCTGGAAATTGTCGTTCTCCAAGGCCTCAAGCTGCCTGTTGATGCGGCGCTGCCGGGCAGCCCTGTCCAGTACCCGCCGCTGTCCAGGGTCCTGGGAGCGAACTAGATGGGACAGAGCCAGAAAGTTATGGGGGGCATGGAGAAGACAGAAGCTGAGGTGACCGTGGCTCTAGGCGTGTGTGGCTGATGTCCATGCGGTAGGGAGCCACAGTTCTCTGATCTCATGCTGGTCACCAAGCCCTTGGCCCCTGTATCTTCTACCAATACAGTAGTTCCCCCCATCTGTGGTTTTACTTACCAAAGTTTCAGTTACCTGCAGTCAACCATGATCTGAAAACATTATATGGATATTGAAATAAAAAATTTGTAAGTTTTAAATTGTGCGCTGTTCTGAGTAAGAAGCTCTAGTACCACACAAGAGTCACAGCATCCAGGGCCACCCAGAACAGGAGCCTGTGATGAAATCTCATGCCAACCCACTCCACCCTGCCTGGGATGTGAATCACCCCTCTGGCCAAGGATCCAGGCTGTACACACTACCTGTCTGTTAACCACCAAGTAGCTATCTCAGTTAACGAGATCAGCTGTCATGGTGTCACAGTTCTTGTGTTCAAGTAATCCACATTTTACTTAATGATGAACTCAAGACATAAGAGTAGTCATGCCAAAAACATGCCAAAGAGAAGCCATAAAATACAGGTATGTACAGGGAAAAAACATAATATGCACAGGGTCTGGTACCATCTGCAATTTTAAGCACCATTGGGAGTCTTGGAACTTTTTTGATGTGGATAAGCAGGGACTGTCTATCAGCCCTTCTGGTCTGCTTCCTTCCTCGTGAAGATTGCTATTTCAGTCACTCAGCCCTGTTTTTTATCTCTTTGGCCCCAGCCTGTCCTCCCAATCCCAGACCTAACCAAGGAAATGCCTCCTGGAGACTTCTCACTGCTGGCAGAAATCACAGAATCATGCTGATGAGACCAGTGTACACTCAAGGCTTACGGGCTCCACTGAAGCCTTAATGCACTTGGCCTTCACGCTCAGCAATCTCGTTTCTTACCTCAAAGGAAATGGGTCACTGATACATAGAGACACTTGTCTTTTAGCCCACCCTCAATCATAATTGCATGGACATCCAACCACCCCCCCCACACCAAATTCCACTGCTAACTCCAACCTTTCACCTCCAGCCGAGTCCTCCCCTCCCTCTAGCATCTTTAATCTCTCCTCCTCAACGGACACTTTTCCTTCCAGGAAAAACCTACTAAACTCTATCTACTGAACTTCATACCTGCTCTTCTTTGACAGAGTGCTCCACGTGACGTTTCATTTCCTCATCTCCTGGCCATCTCTCAACACCCAGTAATGGGCTGGTTTTTTATGGTAACCACTCACACTCAGAATGCTGGTGACCTCCTTGAGTCAAGCCCAGAGTGCAGTTTACTTGAATTCTCTACACTCTGAGACTATGCTGACCATCTCACTCAGGTTGAAAGTGTCTCTTTGTCTGTTTCTTTGATATGAACTCCAGGTGTTCCTTCCCCATCTCTGGCTATGGCTCTGTTTCTAACCTTGCCTTCTCTCTTGGCCTCTAAGGAGATGGCTATCCCTGTTCTCTTTCTCAGTCTATAAACTCTTCCTGAGATTTCTAATCCAAACACAGGGCTCTCTCACCCACAAGCAAATGAGTCCAAAAGTGATTCTCTCCATCCAGAACCTTCTCTTGAGCTCCAAAACTGACTATTCAACTGGCTGCAGGAAATTACCAGCTGACCCCATTGACACTGCAACTCAAAATTAAAAATCTTCCCACTCAAGTCTGATTCTCCTCCTGCAGACTTTCTTTAAATAAATGGAACCATCTACATAGACATCCAAACCAGAAAACCTAATATATTTTAAACCTTTCTTCATTACCATATCAACTGTTCACTAGGTTCTGATAATTCTACACAAAATATCTCTTTATTCATTAAACAAATATTTATTGAGTGCCTGTAACCATAATAGTAGCATCAGTGCCAGTTGCTAACACTTACTGGGCATGTATTGTGAGTCAGGCACTACACTCAGCTCTGCATAAATGGAACCCTTTAACCCTTACGACCACCCTGTGAAACAGGTTTCATTATCACCCCAACTTACTAGAGTTTGTAACTAGTAAATGGTGGGGCCAGAATTCAACCCTGAACTGCCAAGCATCAAAAAACATGCTTGTGAGAACTTTCGGTCAAGACAGAAGTGGAGGTAAACATGGCTCGCCCTTTTGCACAACCAACATCAAAATTACAACTAAACTACAGAAAAACCATCGCTCAGAACCATCAGAAATCATGTTGAATGGAAGTCCGACAACTATGGAACTAAAGAAACCACATCCATCCGGACTGGTGGGAGACACAGACACACAGAGTGGGCTGGCCCACATCCACATGTGGTGGATAAAAATTCAGGAAGGGATATGTCTGGAGCAAGGGGCTCCGGCCCCACACCAGGGCTACAGCCCAGCCCAGGGCTACAGTGCCAGGAAGATAAGTTCCCATACTTTCTGACTGTAAAAACCAGTGAGGTTTCATTCAGTGAAAGAACTGCTTAGTCCCAAGCAATGTCTGTTAAAGGGTCTGCATACGGTCTTACTCAGATTCACCCTGTCTGAACTCCAGCATCAGGGTGGCAGCTTGGGGGGCACCAGAGGCATGCAGGGTGCCACTGCATTGTCTGGTATCAGGGTAACAGCTGGAGAGCAGCTTTCTCCCAGACAGAAAGGTGGGCAGAGCCATTGTTCCTTTTCTGAGCCCTCCCCACCTGGAGCCACAGAGCTGGCAGGGAGGGGCCATATCTGGGACTCCATCATCCTGGCTCAAACAGTTTGCTCCACCCTGGGGAATCCCTGGGGCCCCACCCCACCCAAGCTGTTAACAGTGGCTATTCCATATGAATGGCTAATCTTAGTTCAGGCTTCACATCTTCCTAAATCCTCTCAAACAAGCCAACAGCAGGACTCAGCTAGTCCCCAACCCCTGTACTTCTGGCAAAGCAGCACCAGACCCAGCACTAGCAGCAGCCAGCTTTGGATCACAGTTTTGCTTCGCCTGGATCTCCAAGCCCAGCACAAGTAGCAGCCACCTGCAGATTGCCTTGTAGCTCATGCAGGGTGGCTCCAGGTGGAACACAGGTGGTGGCTGATCCTGGCATGCACCACCTGGGAAACATCAGAGCAGGCTTACCCAGTAAACAGCTACAGACCACGTCAGAATACCACCACCCAGCCCCTGACCAGCTGATCCTCCACAGAGGACTGAGGTTGGTAGTCAGTGGTCAGAGCCAGTCCTTGCAGCTGACTGGCCTGGGTAAATCCCTCCCATTGATCTGCCAACAGCAATCAAAGCTCAACTACAAGAGGAGGGTGCACCTTGAGTACCCAGCTTGGGTGATGGGGAGGCTGTGCCACTAGATCCTTCAGAACACCTACTACATTATGCCACGCTACCAAGATAGAGAGTCATAGCAGCTCTACCTAATATAGAAACAAATATAGGGAGGCTGCCAAAATGAAGAGACAAAAAAATCATGGCCCCAATGAAAGAATCAAAACCCCAAAAAAGACTGAACAAAATGGAGATGAGCAATTTATCAGATGGACAATTCAAAACACTGGTTATAAGAATGCTCGAGGGACTTGGTGAGTGTCTCAACAGCATAAAAAAAGATCCAGGCAGAAATGATGGAAATAAAGAACAATTTACAGAGAATCAACAGTCAAATGGATAAAATCAAGAATCAAAGCAATAATATGAAACATAAGACACAAAAAACAACTAATCAGAATAACAAAAAGAAAAAGAACAACAACAAAAAAAAGGAGGATAGCATAAGGAGACTTGAAGTCTAGGGCAACTTCATGCAATCCAACATTCACAGCATAGGGGGGGCCAAAAGAAGAAAAGAAAGAAGTTGGAAATCTATTTGAAAAAATAATGAAAGAAAACTTTCCTAATTTAGTAAAGGAAGCACAGAGATTCCCAAACAAGATGGATGCAAAGAGGCCCACTCCAAGACATATAATTAAAATGCCAAAGGTTAAAGATAAAGAGAGAAACTTAAAAGCAGCAAGAGAAAAACACTCAGTTACTGACAGGGGAATTCCCATAAGACTGTCAACTGATTTCTCAAAAGAAACTTTGGGGACTAGAAGGGATTGGCAAGCAATGTTCAAAGTCATGAAAAGCAGGTACCTACAGTGAAGACTGCTCCTGCCTGCAAAGTTATCATTTAGAACAAAAGAGCAGATAAAGTGCTTTCCAGACAAGAAAAAACTAAAGGATTTCATCATCACCAAACCATTATTATATGAAAAGTTAAAGGGACTTATTTAAGAAAAAGATCAAAATTATGAACAATAAAATGGCAATAAATATGCATCTATCAACAATTTAAATCTAAAAACCAAACTAAGCAAACAAGAACAGAGACAGAATTGTGAATGGATACAGGAAACGTTTTGATGGTTGTCAGGTGGGAGGGGGGTATGGGGAAATGGGTGAAGAGGTGAGGAGATTAAGAAGTACAAATTGATAATCACAAAATAGCCATGGGAATGTAAAGTACAGCACAGGAAATGGAGTAGCCAAAGAAATTATATGCATGACCCATGGACAAAGGGGTGGGGATTGCCTAAGGAAGTGGGAGGTACTGGGAGGGGGCAAAGGGAGAAAATTGGGACAACTGTAACAGCATAATCAATAAAATATAATTTAAAAGAAAAAAAAGCATGGTCCTACATTATACTGCCTCCCTTCCAAGTGCTAGGTTGTACGCTAGGCTATTGGGGAATACAAACGATCAAACAAGAATGGTAAATCATAGCATATGCTAATATGGGGAAGTACAAAGTGCTACAGAGCACATGACAGAAACAACTAGCCTGGACTTGGGGTAGTCAGAAAGACTTTCCAGAGGAAAGTAAGTCCAAGGTGAGGCCAGCCTGATGAACAGAAGTAAACCTGGTTGGAGGTAAGGAGAGAGTGTCTCAGACCTTGGTACCAGCATGAGAGGAGGCTTGGATGGGAGACTTAAGTGCCTTCAATAAATTAAAAGAAGTTCTGTATGGCTGGTATATATGCGTGTATGGGGGATGGGGTATGAAGTCAGGCAGACCCTTTAAAATTATGTCTTTTAAGTATCTACAGGATACTAGATTTGGAGATTTTATGGTGAAGGTGATAGAAATCCAGTGATGGGTCTTAAGAAAGGAGTAACATAACTAGGATTATTACAAGTCAATCTAAAGGTGTTCCAGCCCTCATCCTTTTTTTATTTGGACTATTCAATAGCTTCCTAACTGGCCTTCCAGGCTCTAGACCTGTGCTATATAATAAAGTAACCACTAGTCACATGTGGTTAATTAAATTTAGATATAGACTTCTGGTCAAGATGGAGGCATAGGTAAACATGCCTCCCCTTCCTCACACAACTATAGCCAAAAATACTACTGGACTACAAAACAAATATCACCCAGAATTGTCAGGAAATTGAGCTCTGTCTAACAACCAAGGATTTAAAGAAGTCACATTCATCCAGATGGGTATGAAGAGGGGAGGTAGGGAGTTGGCAGAGAGGCTCAGAGACATGGAGAAGAGTGGAGGGGAACCAGTGGTCCCACATCCACATGCAATGGGAAAAAATCAGGAGTGATACCTTGGGAGCGAGGGATCCCAGCCCCGGACCAGACTATCTAACCAGGGTTCCAGTGCCAGGAAGATAAGTACCCATAACTTCTGGTTATAAAAACCAGTGGGGGTTGGTGCACCAGAAGAAACTGTGGGGTCTCAAGAGACTCCTCTTAAAGGGTCCACAACCCTTAGGACTTAGGACTCACTCAGACTCATCCCCTCTGGCATTCAGCACCAAAGCAACAGCTTGAAGGGCACCAGTGGCATACAGGGAGAGAGTAACTGGCAACAGAGCTAGTGCCCAGAGTCAGCTTCCTCCCAGGCAAAACTCAAGAGGCCAGGCAGCGGCATTGTCCCCTCTCCAAGCATTCCCCCACACAGAGCAACAGAGCTGTGATATGGAATGCTCTGCCCAATACAACTTAACAGGTGCACTTTTCTACAATAGGCCACACTACTAAGACAGGGAGTCAAAGCAGCTCTACTTAATACACAGAAACAAACACAGGGAGGCTGCCAAAATATGAAGACCAAGAAATATGGTCCAAATGAAAGAACAGAACAAAACTCCAGAAAAATAACTAAATAAAAAGGAGATAAGCAACCTATCAGATGCAGAGTTCAAAACACTGGTTATCAGGATGCTTCAGGAACTCACTGGGTACTTCACCAGCATAAAAAAGACCCAGGCAGAAATGAAGTTTGCATTAAGTGAAATAAAGAAAAATCTACAGGGAACCAACAGTGGAGGGGATGAAGCCAAGAATCAAATCAGTGATTTGGAATACAAGGAAGGAAAACGCATTCGATCAGAACACTGGGAAGAAAAAAGAATTCAAAAAAACAAGGACAAACTTAGGAAGCTCTGGGACATTTTTAAACATATCAACATTCGACTCATAGGGATGCCAGAAGGAGAATTCCTTGTTCAGAAGAACAAGAAATTGAAAAATTATTTGAAAAAATAATAAAAGAAAATTTTCCTAATTTGGTGAAGGAAATGGACATACAAGTCCAGGAAGCACAGAGAGGCCCAAAGAAGATGGACACAAAGAGGACCACACCAAGACACACCATAATTAAAATACCAAAGGTTAAACATAAGAGAGAACCTTAAAAGCAGCAAGAGAAAAGCAGATGGTTACCTACAAAGGTGTTCCCATAATACTGTCAGCTGATTTCTCAAAAGAAACGTTGCAGGCTAGAAAAGACTGGCAAGAATTATTCAAAGTGATAAAAAAGCAGAGACCGACAACCTAGATTACTCTATCCAGCAAAACTATCATTTAGAATTGAAAGGCAGATAAAGCACTTCCTAGACAAGGTAAAACTAAAGGAGTTCATCATCACCAAGCCACTATTATATGAAATGCTAACAGGAATTATAGAAGAAAAAGATCAAAATGATGAACATTAAAATGACAATAAATTCACAACTATAATAACTGAATCCAAATAACAAACTAAGCAAACAAGCCGAACAGGAACAGAATCATAGATATGGAGATCATCTGGATGGTTATCAGTTGGGAGGGGAAAGGGGGGAAATGGGGGAGAAAGTACTGGGACTAAGAAGCACAAAATAGTAGGTACAAAACAGACACACAGATGTTAAAAATAGTATAGTTAATGGAATAGCCAAAGAACTTATATGCATGACCCATGGACATGAATTAAAAGGGAGGATTGCTGGGGAGAATGGGGATACCAGGTGTTGGGGGGCAAAGGAGACAAAATTGGGACAACTGTAGAAGCATAATCAATAAAATATATTTTAAAAATAAAAAATAAGCTTAGATGTAGATTAAGATGAAATAAAATTTAAAATTCAGTTCCACGATTGCAATAGTCATATTACAAGTGCTCAATAGCCACTTGTGGCTAAGGCTGCCATGATGAACAGTGCTGGTTAAGAACATTCCCATCATCCCAGACATTCTGGGCAGCGCTACTCTAGTCCCTCCAATTCATCCTCTTTCGCTGAAGCTAGAACTGCCTTTCTAAAAGATAAATTTGTTTGGGTCACGCCCCTGGCTTAAAAGCCCTTAATGGGTCTCCACTGCTCTCAGAATTCAAATTTTTCCGCAGTTCATATAATGCCTTTCAAGTGTGTCTTTCCCTAGCCCTCCAGCCTCTCTTATTATTCCTCAGTAAGTACGGAACTGTGAACTTGGCTTCCTAAGCGACTTGCTTTTTCTTGCTTTCATGCCTTAGTAAGTGTAGTTCTTGCTGCCGGGAATGAGTCCCTGCGCACCCACACAGAGCGAAACCTAATTCGCCTGTCAAGACTTAAGCGTTCTTTTCCCCTGCAAGCCTTCATTTACCACCCCCTACTTTCCAGGGGCCCAGGCGCTGTGCATCCCTCTGCCAAAGCGCGTATGAAGTACAACGGTAGGTCTGCAAGTCTGTCCCCCTCCCAAACAACCACTTCCAGGAAGATAAAGATCTTTTTGCTTTTTCCATTCTCAGCGCCGGCTTTGAGCAGGCATAAATAAAATGTAAATGGATGGTTTGGGAGCTGCCCGGATGCCAGGACCTGAGGGCCAGGGAAGGAATTTGAGACTAATAATTGGGTGAGAAAATCTTAGGCCAGGTTCAGATTTGAGAGGAGGCAAAGAGCCAATCCCAGAGGGGCTCACGTACCCGAAGTTTTCTTCTCCACCATTTCCACAACACACCTGACGGAAGAGCTTACCGCGCGCGCGTGCTAAACCCTCCGCTTTGGTGAGGGCCCCGTAACTTCCGGCGGCCTGTGCTTCTGCGCGTGCGCAAAATAATGCCAATGCTTAGATTTATTACGTGATGTTCCCTTGGAGACAAGCAAGCTTTCTGCCATATTTTATAGGGGCAAATGTACTTCCTGCCTCAGTGTATTTTTGTATTTTGTGGGAGCCCTGAAATGGGTCATTTTAAAGATGTGGTGCCAGTGGTCTTTCCAGAAACGTCCTTTGCCTTTGGTCCTTCTTTGACCCTTCAGGGTCTGCCAGAAAGGCAGACCCTGAAGCTTCTCTCTAGGCAGTCTAGGCAGTAGAGATGACAGGAGGGACTCCCAAAGATTGTAGGAAGGCTTGAGTGGGCAATCCGAGAGGTCGCTGGTGACGCTCTGCAGATATTTCAACCCCTAGCTCCCCTGGAGCTTCAGACTCTTCGGCATTTTCCCTCTCTTCCGCTCGCTCCTCCACCCGTTCCCGCTCTGCGCGCCCTCCCAGCCTCGTTCTGTCTCCTGCCCCGCCGACGGGGCAGGGCTGTAGCAAAGACCCGCCTCCGCGTCTGGTCGGACCCGCAAGCGGTCACTTCCCCTCTCGGGGTTTCAGTTTCCTCAAGTGTCTGCTGAGCGGTGGGCTGGGCTGTCTCTACCAAAATCCTCAGCTAGTGCTCACCCGCCCAAGCCCCCGCCCCTCTTTCGCCTCACGGCCCAGCGGCCCCTCCGCCCGCACCGCGCAGTCCACGAGCCGGCGTCCAGGGACAATCCTCGCCTTGTCTGGGGCGCCTGCATCTAGAGTTTTCTGTAGCCTCCGGATACGCCTTTTTTCCAGGGCGGAGCCCCGGCCCGGCCCCTCCTGGGTCGCACTGCAGCCCCGATCGCCTTTCTAGAGCCACCTCGCTCCATAGTTGGGATCCAGGCACGCAGCCGGAGCCCATTGCCCGCCTGTGTGCGGTCTCAGCCAGCTCCCCGCCATGGCCTCCTGGGGCCTGGGACTCCGGCTCCTGCTGTTGTTGCTGCTGCTGCTGCTGCTACCACCACCTCCTGAAGCCGCGGCTGCGGCCTCGGCCTCGGACCGTCCCCGGGGTGGCCACCCAGTCAACCCAGGTGAAACTCCCAGGGAGTGCCCGGTGAGCTCCGGGCTGACGTGTCTGCGGGCTGGGGCTTGGAGGAAGCTGGAGCGGCGCGGGGCGGTCTCTCCCCTGCCCAGCGTGCTCCTTGGGACCAAACGACTCGCTCCCGACCCTGAACTGTTTTCATCCTCCCGCTTTTAAGTGACCCCGAATTCCTGGGTGTCACTCCCATAGCTCTCACTGGGGCCGAAGTTTCTCAGGGGGAAGATTTTAAGAGGGAATGGAAAAAAAGAAGCAAGGGACTTCAGCAGAGCTTGAGGGAGGGGAAGGGGGCCTGAGGTGAGTGGAGCACGTGGGGCAGGCAATGAGCTGGGTGAGTGGGTCCCGACTGCCAATTCTCGACTGGTGACAGAGAAGTTGCTGGTGATCACCGTGGCCACAGCCGAGACGGAGGGGTACCGGCGTTTCCTGCAATCAGCGGAGTTCTTCAACTACACAGTGCGGGTGAGAGGAATGCCCTTGTGGGCGCTAGGAGGTGGGGATGGATGGCTTCCAGCTGGAGGAGTGGGCTGAGGGCTGGATGCCTGGGGCCCCATGGTGAGCCTGGCCAGCTGAATCCTTCCCTGGCGTGGTGGATCTCCCCCACAGACCCTGGGCCTGGGAGAGGAGTGGCGAGGGGGTGATGTAGCCCGAACTGTTGGTGGAGGACAGAAGGTCAGGTGGCTAAAGAAGGAAATGGAGAAATATGCAGACCAGGAGGATATGGTCATCATGTTTGTGGACAGGTAAAGAGGCTAGAGATGGGGAGAAATGGGTGGGGCAAACAAGAGGAAGGAGGTGAGGATACTGAGGGTCCTAGCGGCTGTCTGTTCATCCTGCCCTTCCTTGCCAGCTATGATGTGATTTTGGCCGGCAGCCCCTCAGAGCTGCTGAAGAAGTTCGTTCAGAGTGGCAGCCGCCTGCTGTTCTCTGCCGAGAGCTTCTGCTGGCCTGAGTGGGGGCTGGCAGAGCAGTACCCTGAGGTGGGCACAGGGAAGCGCTTCCTCAACTCTGGTGGTGAGTGGCAGAGTGCCTGAAGCAGAGGGGCTGAGAGTGTGGGGTCTGGAGTGTTCCAGGTGCCCAGGAGCCAGAGAGGGAGTGAGGACAGGTTCATGGGACAAAGGGAGTCTTTGAGTCAGCACCTCCCCTCCCCCCACAGGATTCATTGGCTTCGCTCCTACCATCCACCAAATTGTCCGCCAGTGGAAGTACAAGGACGACGATGATGATCAGCTGTTCTACACTCGACTCTACCTGGACCCAGGACTGAGGGTAGGGACGGACAGAGGAGGGGTGACCACTTTCAGCCCTGTGGGCATGGCAGACCTCAGGCTGAATGGGAGAGAAGGGGTAAAAGGGTTTGGGGAAGACGTAAAGAGAAAAGAGTGAGAGATGTTGTCTCACCCCTTCTTGAATTAACTGCCCCATCTCATCCCATCCAGGAGAAACTCAGCCTCAATCTGGATCATAAATCACGGATCTTTCAGAACCTCAATGGGGCGTTAGGTGAGCAGAAAGGCAATCAGAAGGGAAGATAAGAGAGACTGCTGGGGTCCTGAATTAGGGAGGAGCTCCTGGTGGAACTGGGGTGGTCTTCAGCTCACCTTCATGTTAACTTATTAAACATCTGAATGGCTGATAGGTAAAGTTGCACAGTGCTAACAGTAGTAAAAGCAGTGGCCATCATACAACATCTATGAAAATACTGTGTGTCAAGGCCCTGGGCCAGGGGCTTTACCTCTGTAATCTCATTAACACAGCAATCCTACAAAGTGGAGCTGGGGTCTGTGGTTATCTACCTCTTACAGACGAGGAGACTGTCTCTCTGAGGGGCTGGTGCCTTGCCCAGGTCACACCAGTAGTAAGCGGAGGAGCTCCCCAGGAGGTTATTAGAGAAGCTGGATTCCCTCATATTTAGAAGCACCTGCTGCTCAGCAGCTTCAAGAGAAAGGGAGTCTAAATCCTGACTTTTCTTTCCCAGATGAGGTGGTTTTAAAGTTTGATCGGAATCGTGTGCGTATACGGAATGTGGCCTACGATACGCTTCCTGTGGTGGTGCATGGAAATGGTCCCACCAAGGTGCCCCAGAGACTCACACCCTCAGCCCCATACCTGGTCCCAGCCCCTCACCCTGTCCCAGGCTTGGCCCCACAACCTCTGTCCCTGCCCCAGACCTCATCCTAGCCCCGAGGTACCTCCAACCCTTCCGAGCAGTCGGTCCTCCCCAGTCCCAGCCACAGAGGTGCTAGGAGAGGTTCCAAGTGTCCGCTGCTCCCCCACTTCCTTGTTCCTGTCTATCTACCCAATCTACCTCATGTCCGGTCCTGGACTCCTGTATCTCAGCCTCTCTTTCTGTCTCTCCCAACAGCTACAGCTGAATTACCTGGGAAACTATGTCCCCAATGGCTGGACTCCTGGGGGAGGCTGTGGGTTCTGTGACCGGGACCGGAGGACACTCCCGGGGGGGCAGGTAAGAAGTGGTGGGGCAGGAGAGCACATTGAAGCAGGGGATGCAGGGAGAGCATGCTAGACAGCAGTGGGGGGCAAAGCTCCGAAAGCCCCAAACCTGGCCAGGTGGGTGGTAGAAGACAGACCAGGTGGGGTTCTGGGCTTTCCTGTGAGCCCTGTTGTGTATTTTCCAGCCTCCCCCCCGGGTGCTTCTGGCTGTGTTTGTAGAACAACCTACCCCATTCCTGCCCCGCTTCCTGCAACGGCTAATGCTCCTGGACTATCCCTCCGACAGGATCACCCTTTTCCTGCATAACAACGTAAGACACCCTGGCAGCCTCTCCATTAGGCCCTCCCGAGGGACCTGCCCTGAGGGACTCCTGCCCCTCCCACTCCAGATTGCTTCCAACACCCTGTTCACTTGCCTCCTTTCCTCTCCATCGCACCCCTCAGGGTCATCTTTTCTGCCCTCTCAGCACCATCTCCCATTTCCTCCCATCTCCAGGAGGTGTACCACGAGCCCCACATTGCAGACTCCTGGCCTCAGCTCCAGAACCACTTCTCAGCAGTGAAGCTGGTGGGGCCAGAAGAGGCTCTGACTCCAGGCGAGGCCAGGGACATGGCCATGTGAGTGAAATCTGGGCAGGGAGGACTGTAGGGGAGCAAGGGGTGGGAGGGAGTGAGGCTGCCACCCACTGCGTCCCCCTTCCCCCTCCACCTACCATCCAGCTTTTCCATGGCCTCACAGTGCTGCCTGCCCAGCATTCTGTCCCTCCCTTGCCCCTCTTTCACAGACTAGACAACCTGGGGGTTCCAGAGAGGGGCAGTTTCTCCCACTCTGCAGTCCCCTCCTTCCCCCACCTGCTTCAATTTCAGTTCTTTTGTCTGTTGTCTGTCCCCACCAGGGATAGCTGTCGGCAGGACCCCGACTGTGAATTCTACTTCAGCCTGGATGCTGATGCTGTCATTACCAACCAGCAGGTCCTGCGCATCCTCATTGAAGAGAACAGGTTACTTTCCTGGCTCAGCCAGAGGGCCCCCAAGTAGTCCCCCAGAAGCCCCCCGCTCGTTCCCTGGGCATGGGACTCTCCGCTGCCCAGTCCTCACCTCCCACTGTTCACAGGAAGGTCATAGCACCCATGCTGTCCCGCCATGGAAAGCTGTGGTCCAACTTCTGGGGAGCCCTGAGCCCCGATGAGTACTACGCCCGCTCTGAGGACTATGTGGAGTTAGTGCAGCAGAAGCGAGTGTGAGTCCTGCCCGGGCTGCAGCCCCTCTCCTCCTCCCAGCTGGGCCTGAACAGTCTCAGGGGTCTGGTGTGGCTCTGGGGTAGGAACTGACTGTGGAGCGGGACATGAGAGGGTTGCAACCACAGTGCCTGACAGAGGAAGTGACAGGGCCTCCTGGCTGAGAGAGTGGGGTACCCTGAGGGGAGGGATCCAAGGCTGAACTGGGCAGAATTGTGGGGGCCACCCACCTTGC